TATGAAAAAAACACAGTGAACTTTGTTATTTGCATGTGCACGAAAGCGGGAAGCAATTATACTGACAAGACGGCAAACGACCAGCATTTTGAGGGTGAGACGCCAGAACCGCGTCATGCAGACGACTGTCACCGTTGCCGTCACTTTTCTTTCGCTTTCATGATTTCAAGCCATCTCAGGCGCTCTCCTATTCATTAAGTTAATGGTGTACTGCTGATCTCCGTTTTTTATGGGATCAGCCAGGAGTGGCATATTTTAAAAGCAGAGCCTACAGCTATGTGCCAAGCATAGCGTGTGGTTTCTTTTCTCCTCACAGAATAATACTCACTTATCAACCTCGGAAGGAACGGCGAGTGACCTGACCAGTGCATGTACTCGGGGCTTATTGCTTCTGAGTTCGACGAGCAACTACGATTTAAAGCAATTTGTGGTAAATTTTTTGTTGACGAAAATTCGCGAATAAGACAAAGATTTTTCTCGAGTGAAATCGAACCAGGCACCCCTGGAATATGAGACTGACCCATGTGCCACCACGACACCAAACGAAACCTAAGCAAGTTACTGACAATCGGAAAATTCGCCGTAAGCGAAAAGTTTAACGTTAGATGAAGTTAAGCTATCTTTATTACATAAATTCGATATCCGCTGACACGAATATAATCTATAAACCGACAATCTAGATTCCATACCGACTGCTCTGAAAATAGCGCCAAGTAGGAAACAATACAACTTTAATTATCAGGTACTAAGGTTAACACATGAAATATTTCTTCCTGTGAATAATATACAGTATGAAACGACGCCAGCGGGATAGCGCTGGAAGCATCAATACGCATGAAATTGCATGTTCATCAATATCTAGAAGAACAGTATCTTGTCACGAGATACACTGTCCATCAAAAAATTTTTGAAAATGAATATTTATCCTATGCTGAAATAATTTTAAACGACACCAAAGAATGCGTAAACCCCGAGTCCAAGTACGACCTTGCGTTTCAACCTAGAAATTCAGTCGCTGCTCTAATCGTTCATTACTGAGCTATGGGCGAAACGATGCAGTGGGCCTTTTGTTATAGTTGATTCAGCTTTTCTTTAGGCGAGTTACTGCATTTTTATTCTTTTTGCTTAGTTGCATCTATTACATGGACAAAATCTTTGCCGGCTAATCGAATAGCCAATTGATCAATCATTTATTATCACCTTCCAGCCGGTTTATTCCTCTTCGAATTTCACGTGAACATGTTTTCTGTCAAACCTCATCTGGAACGTGATATATTTGCTCAGCTTGCTTTTCGATACCGGTTACCAATCATATTAACACACATTTAACTGCTTTTTAACAATGAATATTTTTCCAGAAAGATCTGTTCAAACAGGCATCATTTTACCCTTCCTATACAACCAGTTACTAACACATTTGGAATGAGTGGCTTAAAAATGGGCCTTCACACCTGAAGGTGCATGGCCAAGCCTCGGTCACTCGTTGAACTCCTTTCCTTCGACCTATTGAACTGACTTCGGATATGCTGATTTAAGTGTTTTGGTGTCTGATTTTTGTACATGGTTCATTATAAAGTTAGTACGTTTTCGAAATGTATTTGGATGCTTTGTTCTCCTGCATGGACAGACGTACAAGGTTGTGCTGCATATGTCTTGTTCTAAACAGACATACGCTCAGGACTGAAACTGCTTTTGCAGCTCCCGGTCGTTGTGTTATTTGCAGATAAAGTCAGTCAGCAAAGAATCGTCTGCAAGCGCTCGACACATAAGTGCAGAAGTTGGACTGCTAATAGGTTAGTTAGTAAAAATACTGCGATCTGTCTCCCCGCCATAGACTCGATTACCAGACTGGAAAGAAATCAATAAGTACGTTTACCTGGACCAAACAGCATGTGGCACAATCAGACAACAGAGTTTCAACGAAGAAATAGGGCTAGTTGGAACGCAATCCGTTCTGTCAAGGACTTTCTCCTAGACAATATCAGGAAACGACCTCAAGCATAATTCTTCAATTTCACCGCGCTGTCGGAGATGCTGTACGACTGTGAGGCGTGATCACGCATCAAAGCCGAAAAGTGCCGGCTATTTTTCAGCGGGAGTGCAGATATTGCGAATTTTACTTCGCGATCTTATCCCTAACATGGTGATCAGACAGCAGACTGAAGTGAAAGACTTTACTGTCGAAAAAAATAGAGCAGCTATGACACACCAGGTGCGCAGCTCGGCTAACGAATGTTGGACGGTTGGCGATGGTCATCGACGGGTATCCCCTCGCGGGGACTAGATCGCCCACCACGATGAGTAGATGATTACATCAGGAGCCGGGAAGACCGCACTAGAAGAAAGAAGGCCAGAAATCGTGAGGAATGGCAGACGACGTGTTGCGGCCGGCAGCACTCGCCGGTTCAAGTGATCAACAAAATATTTAAACTACATATTTCTGTTT